ATACCAACATTTTTGTTTTACTTTTATTTATTTTTATATAATACTGTGGTTATGGTAGTATTAGCTTCTAGCAAGGAGGACATAGAGATAGCTTTAAATAAAATGTATTCGGTACTGACAAAACAGTACTGTATGAAAATAAATAAAACTAAAACAAAAATACTGGTATGCAAGGGAATAAAAAGTAGGGAAGAAGCGAATATAAAAATAGGAGACGAAAAATTAGTAGAACTGGCCGATTTCACGTATCTAGGAAGTCAGATAAGTCAGGACGAAAGAAGTAGTAGGGATATAAAGCAGAGAATAGCGTAGGATTGTGTCGCTTTCAAGAAAAAGAAATCACTTCTATTGTTGTGAACGGTTAATTTAGAAATTCGAAAAATATTGTTGTTGGAGCGCGGCGCTGTACAGATGTCAAACATGGATGGTGGGCGCGGCGGAAAAGAAAAGGCTAGAAGCGTTCGAAATTGGTGTTACAGGCGCATAATGAGGATACCGTGGATAGAGAAATAAAGAGATACTAGAAAGAATAGAAGAATGGAGGACTCTATGGAAGTCAATAATAAATAGGCGAGATATATTGGTAAGAAACCTTCTCAGGCGTAAAGATCTAGCCAAAAACATATTAGTGGCAGAAACGGGAGGAGGGGTAGTGGTAGACCTAGGTTAGATTAGTAATCGCAAATAGTTAGGGATGTGGGTTGTTCTAGTTTCAGAGAAATGTGAAGATTAGCTCAGGATAGTCTTAGGACTGACAACCTTATGATGATGATGACTGTTTTGTCAATACCGTTCCCATTTCTTTTAAAACTATCTCTCAATCCTCCTTGCTATATGCTAATACTGCTGTGATGGTGATTATTCACTTAAAAAATTTTGTCGCACCACCATGACTTTCGGCCAACCCTGTCGCAAACACAGGGCCATCAAGCGTTTTGGGTAAATTACTTATGGTAACACTTATTGTTTACTGCTTAAAATAAACTCCAGGGTATTGAATTGTTTTAGTTTCAGTAATGATGTCGCTTGTTTATCAGTTGAATCTTGATTATAGAGTACCTTCTTATTCTGTTATCGTTATTGTCTTACACGTGTAAAAGTTGTTGTTTTCAGAATTTATCGTCCATTTTCAATTCTACATGATATTTGGCATTATGTAATTGCTTTTAATATTTCACGTATGATGATGGTGATTAAGTATAGATCCATATCGCCTCACAAGATATAGTATTGAAATATCAAAAATTCAGTAAATGCCTTCAATTATTATAATTAATAGGTGCAATTACTCAAAACACTAACTAAAAGTTTAGATTACATTTTCGAACTTACCATTGTCCATGTTCTTTTATTCGCAGGATTGAAATGATCAACCTTTTGGGTTATATTCGCCCGTACGGGTGAACTGGCTCTACCGATGGGAACATCTATTGGGGGAGGTCCATGTCGGCTTTCAAATATTTGACCCTAAGGATGTTAAATTTCTTTTTATTCAAATTATATTAAAATAAAAGTTATTATCGTTTACCTGTACAGCAATAACACACGTNATTATTTTTAATTATTAAATTGTAACAGGTACATTGATATAGTGAGTGAGCGGTTCCTTGTAGGAAGGGGGGGGGCAAAAAAATTGTATAGCAGATAACACTCGTAAACAGGTAATTGTTTTACCGAAATTCGTATGAAAATTTGTACAGTATCATTCTATTGCAATTTGCACCGTACTCACATTCTTTGCTAATATTGATACTTTTCATGATTACGATCTATAAGTTTCGATGTTGTAATGCTAGTTAATAAATAAATCAATATATTTATACACGGTGCTTCTGAAAAAGGTAGTGAACTTGCAGAAGGGGATAGGACACTATAAAACAAAAAAATAAAGTTAACAATATTATGTACTTATGTCCGAATGTTCACTGTTTTCAAGAAAACCGCAGTCCAAAGTGCAGATAAACGTAAATCTGGCTCTGGAAAAAAATGCGACAAAGGAACACCGTATTCAATCTGTTGGTAATTAGTAGCATTCGGGTTGTATTTCTTCTGTATTTTGTAGTCATGCATTATTTGTTATTTACTACATTAGAAGTGTGATTGACAATAACCATGACAACTGGCCTATAATAGCCCTTCGTACTAATAATGTTATTGTAGGTTAGTGTGTCAGAGGTCAGTGTAGAACAGTAGTTGTTACAATGGCGTTTAGTATGGTAGAACTTAGGGACATGATACTAATTTACCCCGAATGTGAATACAATATAAAAACAACAGCTGAATAGTTCAGTCATCGATATCCTATAGGCGAATCACTTTAAATGCATGTAGATAGATTAAGAGAAAGCGACAATAATTTTGGTTGACGCAATGAAGTCTGTCTTTTGACACGGGGTCCGAATTTCGAACAATTTTTGTACTATAAGTATGTACATGTGTGTGTGTTTACTGATGCTGTATAATTATTTTTTTCTAAATTCTATCGACGAATCATCCATTAATAAAAAGTAACAAGGTAACAAAGTAAACTCAAGGGTGGTGTGGAAACATAGTGATTAAAAACCATACTAGAAAACTGCATGGTAGGTACTTGTAGAATTACTTTATTTTACAAGGATGTAAGAAACTAGAAATTATACATTAAATGCAGTAAAGTTGTTGTTAGTATAATTACTATACTTATTCGTAAAGTAGTTCCAGATGATGTACCATCTTTTATTTCGTCCAACCATTTCGCAATTGTTGTACGAATTGTAAGTTTTGTTTGTTTTATTTGCTCGGAATCAATATCTGATGCCGAATTGAGATCGGCGCAGTGGGATGAACCTACATTTTAAAAAAATATTGAGCAATAAAAAAAATAGATCGTGTAATTATGTAACAAGCTACTGAAGTGAAACTTCATCAAAAACACAATCATAGCGGGTTAGGGGTTAAGGAATTGGTTTAATAGTATTATTTGCACACTACTTATGAATTTAAATTTTACACTATACATGCCGGAGTTGCTTGTAACGAAAGTTGCACTGAAGCACGCTCACGGCTCAAGCGATACCCACTACAAACTCGACCGAGTAGAGGGGGGACACCCGTTGCATGAAACGAACTTAAAACTTTTGGGTGTTTCATTCCCACCAGCCAGTAATGCTGGTGGGCGGGCAGTCCCTCCGGACTACGCCGGAAGGTAGGGCGGAAGGCCCTCTTCAGCCTGCTTTCAGGAATCGTGGGAATGGGTGGGTGGTGGTTCGGGTGAGAAAG